CTCACTTTAATGTACCTCACCTCCATATACCTCACTTCCATATACCTCACTTCCATATACCTCACTTCCATATACCTCACTTCCATATACCTCACCTGCATATACCTCACTTCCATATACCTCACTTCCATATACCTCACTTCCATATACCTCACTTCCATATACCTCACTTCCATATACCTCACTTCCTTAGCCCTCATGTTAATTATTCTTTATTTCCGCTGAAATGTAATGAAGTAGAACTCGCATTTCAATTGTTCTCACTTGAATAGCGATATATTGCGACTAAACACATAGAAAGAATCATTTATCTGCAACAATCATGGACGAGAAACTCGTTTAATACACACGAAGTTATCATAATCAGATGCTGCTGAAGTAAAAAGAAAATATCAAGTCTGTCATGCAAAAAGTAGATTACGTTAGTGGGGGATAAAACAATCGGTGTGAACGTACTTGATTAGTACAGAGAATGGAGTGTAGTAAAACCCCTTTTTACGTGCGCTTCTAGTGACGTTATTGCAAGCTCTCGGCTCATTCAATATATTTACGCGGTGGAGTTAAGGTTTTTTCAATGTGAGTACACACTGCACAACTGTAGACTATAGGGTCATGTATAAATAGAAATATAAATGTTGTTTAAAAGCTGGATTGTAAACAAAATCTACAATGTAGATTAATTAACTATGTCAAACAACTAATTATAATAATATTTTGTAAAGAAAGTGTACGTCTCTAAAATCAGATTAAAGCGATAAATTTAGGTAATGAAACAGCTGTGTATTTTTAACGACCATAGAAAACAAATAGATCTGAGGTCTGAATAAAGATTATTGGCAATTAAAACCGTTTGTTGTATTTTCCGTTCTGAAGTTGTTTTAATTTACATTACGTTTTAATATTTATGACAGTCGTGTTGACACGGTTTAAAATAAACAGTTATTGCCGATAAGAATGATTTGGAAAAGCTTTTGAAATTAAAAGAGTTTTTACTTTTTTAAATTAGTAAACATTTTACAGTACACTTGGCTAGCCGCAGTTCTTTAACACTAATCAAAGCTTTCTTGCCAAGATTGGATTTTAAAATGAATTAAAAGCTTTCTATTTCGATCTGTTTTCCTCTTAGAAACCTGAGTAGACACCTGGGTTTCAGACGTCATTGAATGTGGGACACCTGTGTTTCAGACGTCAATAAATGTTGGGACTCCTGTGTTTCAGACGTCATTGAATGTGGGATACCTGTGTTTCAGACGTCATTGAATGTGGGATACCTGTGTTTCAGACGTCAATAAATGTTGGGACACCTGTGTTTCAGACGTCAATGTTGGGGCACCTGTGTTTCAGACGTCAATGTTGGGGCACCTGTGTTTCAGACGTCAATAAATGTTGGGACACCTGTGTTTCAGACGTCAATAAATGTTGGGACACCTGTGTTTCAGACCTCATTGAAAGTTGGGATACCTGTGTTTCAGACGTCAATAAATGTTGGGACACCTGTGTTTCAGACGTCAATGTTGGGGCACCTGTGTTTCAGACGTCAATAAATGTTGGGACACCTGTGTTTCAGACGTCATTGAAAGTTGGGACACCTGTGTTTTAGACGTCATTGAAAGTTGGGACACCTGTGTTTCAGACGTCAATAAATGTTGGGACACCTGTGTTTTAGACGTCAATGTTGGGGCACCTATGTTTCAGACGTCATTGAATGTTTTTCAGACGTCATTAAATGTTGGCACACCTTTCTTTTCAGACACCTGAGGATCCAGACACCTGTATGTTCAGAAGAAACGCGTGTCTCACGTGTCTAAGAGTGATTGAATTACCTCCTCCAGCCAGTCCAACTTTCAGTTTTTGTCTCAGTTTGTTGATGAAAAGATACAGAACTCTTGACGTATATATGGCTAAAACAAACAAGTGGCTTTAAAATCAAAGGCGATTTTATGGCAATAAAGCCGGTCACTTTAAAAATCAAAAGCGATTTCAGAATAACTTTAACGAAGAATTCTACATCTGGAATTCTATGTGATTAATGGATAAAGTTTGTTGTTTAGAAAACGATTGTTATAGCACATACACACAAATTACAATTATATATATTAATATATATATATATATATATATATATATATATATATATATATATATATATATTTATATTATATATTAATAATATATATTATAATAACATTAATAATAATATATATATATATATATATATATATATATATATATATATATATATATATATATATATATATATATATATATATATATATATATATATATATATATATATATATATGTATGTGTGTGTGTGCGTGTGTGTTTATAATTATATACTAATTTATATAAAAATATTTATTTTTAAATAAATAAATCCATATATATTAAAATATATTATATACGTATAATATATATCACTTTATATACACTATATATATATATATATATATATATATATATATATATATATATATATATATATATATATATATACATATATATATATATACATATATATATCAGTAGCGTAGCAAGGGGGGGGGGGGGGCGGGGCGGGGGACATATGTCCCCGGGCGCCGACCTTAGGGGGGGGGGCGCCAAATTGAAAGTTTGAGAGGAGTGCAAATGAAAAGTTCGAGGGGGGGGGGGGTTACAAATCGAAAGTTTGAGGGGGGGGGGTGTAAATCGAAAATTTGCTCCCAAGGGGGCGCCAAATTTAAAGTATGTCCCCGGGCGCCGGGAAGGGTCGCTACGCCTCTGATATATATATATATATATATATATATATATATATATATATATATATATATATATATATATATATATAATATATATATATATAAGCCGTTTCTTTTTGGTGTGACCTTATTTCTTTGTCTAAAATCTAAGCTGGAAAATGTAGTCTATTTTTCTAATGAAATTAGATTTACGTTAATCATCAGTCACCTTTTACCACTGTGGTACAAATTATATATAGGCTACAATACACTGCGAACATTGCGCTAAATCGTAAACAAAAAAAAACGTATTTTGCTTACATAAATAAACCTAAGGTCTATATAAAAGTTTTTCACCACTCTGTAGCGTGCAGTGTATCTGAAGCCGTGAGAGAGCAGCCATTGGATAGATCTATTGTTAGCTTTTCGGCTGACAAACTGATAAGAAAGTTGACACAATGTGCCCCCCCCCCCACCCACACCCGACCCCTACATGTAGGTTTAATGTCTGTTTGATGGGATTGTTATACGTGTACATTAGAAACGGATATCAAAGTAATTTGATACCGAACTTGCTAAATAAATCGAATACATTTACTTTGATTTATTTGATTTTAAATCTTAAATGATAATCGATATCACTTTGTTCAAATAGTCGTATAGTTTAGAATATGTAATCAAGATAATAGTATTTTTGTAAGAATGAAAATGTCTGCAACAATTATACCAGTCATTCCGTGAAAGTTATTGTTAAACAGTTGAAAATTGTGAGATAACTGTCGAGATAACTGAGTTAAATGAAATTGGTCAGGTGTTTGCTAAAGAACCCTACTAAAATGTTTGACGAATTGTATTGGTTGTATATGGACATATGTAAGCTGGATCTCTCTATAGACAAATAAAGTTTGAGTTTAAAAAAATGAATGAATAACTCTGTCGCGACGTGAAGATACGGACAAACAAAACAGATTTCACACACTTATTGGCTCTTGTTTTCTACAGTTTCTTCCAGACTTCTTTTCTCCGGGGGAGGGGGAGCACTTGAAATTTTCGTTGGGGCGGTCACTGGTAAAAGTATATGTTTTCTATATAAATTGCATTTACAGATGCCTGGAAGAAAATCTGGTTTTCTACATTAGGAAAGACGAGTTTACATCGGCATCTTTAAAGGCAGCTACAGTATTTCTGTCAGAATGTATACAAATACAGAGCAACGTTTTCTTAAGGCATCTGATGCATTGTAAATAGTTGATAAGCTATCTTCTTAACACCTATATAAGTAGGCTCTTTATATTTATATATATATATATATATATATATATATATATATATATATATATATATATATATATATATATATATATGCTTTACATTTATTTTTAGCTATCAATTAATTTCTCTTAACACTATTCCATTAAAATAGTCATTCTATTAAAACATGTCTTTCTAATTTAAAAAAAATCGTTAGTCGTACGTTGATTACATATATTTACTGCATTAAAAAACCAGATCAGGCACCAGGAAATAGGTTCCTGTTTGACCTACCCAGTTGCTACTGTGATGACCACCTCGACTAAAGACCTGGTTCTGCCTCACCTAGCAAGTATCTACCTTGATTATCGTATAGATTCTAGAGAAATTTTTCTCCAATAAACTGTTGAATTTGACATCGATCTATCCACCCTAGTAAACAAAGACTGACACGAAAAACTTTCGTTTAACAGCCACACCCACGTCATAACCTCCCCCCCCCCTCTTCCCATACCCTCATCTCACAGTTAAATAGAATCAACACCATACAGTTTTACTGCTTGTTGTTTCAATATACAGTAAACTCAAATTGCCGTGCCAATTTCTGCTACACTTTCACTTCGGGGTATCGCCGCTTCTCTAGTAGCTCTACGACTTACATATTGACCCCGGACACGATATTTGATTCTATTTTCAGCCGATGATTGTACACCACAACACTGATTTACAACTAGGTACCACCACACAACCCCACAACACCCACATCCGAAGCCTGATGCATTGTTTCGCCAAAATAACGCCAACTTTATGACCTGGTTTTTAAACAACTGTTTAGATTTACAACGCAGTTTTTTTACCCATAATGCTCCAAAGAATTTCTGGAGCCGACCGAGATTATCAACGGTTTTCGGAAGGCCCAACCCACCCACGGGGTTAGGGTTTGGGGAGGGGGGGGGGTGAAGAAGGTAGGGGGACACTTGCAGATGTATTACTAGAGTACGGGTATATAAGCTCTATCAAGCTTGATGATTTTAGTACAGTCTACAAAAGATAGGTCTGCCCAAGCTTGGGGATATCAAGTAAGTCACATTAGAATTATTTACATCAGTCAGAGGCTTTTGTTGTCTGAAGGTTTTGCTGAGGTTTTTCTAGGTTTTATCTTAATCAAGCCCCCAATTTTCATCGTTTTCACTAGACAAAAGGCTTTTGTTGTCTGAAGGTTATGCTGGCTTAGGTTTTATCTTAATCAAGCCCAAATTTTCATCGTTTTCACTAGACAAAAAGGCTTTTGTTGTCTGAAAGTAAAAAACTAATGTTCCCTTTTAGACTTGACGGTCTACGGGGCAGGTGGATTAGAGTTCACCTGTTTCTGTGACCTTAGAATATGAAGAAATAGTGTGGTCAACACTATGCCCAGCCGCCTTTATTTACCCTAACGTGAGTTAGGTACCCATCAGAGTTGGGTGGACTCAGTGACGGTCTACTGACTTGAACCCGGATTCGAACTCGAGACTTACGGGTTAGCAGTCCAGCTCTCTGGCCACTCCGTCCCATCAATGTTGTCTGAAAAATGTGCTAGTTTTGTATAAGTTTTATCTCAATCAAGTCCCAATTTTAATCGTTTATACTAGACATAAGGCTTTTGTCTGAAAAATGTGGTAGTTTTGTATAAGTTTTATCTCAATCAAGTCCCAATTTTAATCGTTTATACTAGACATAAGGCTTTTGTTTGAAAGATCATCTGGTTTTGTAGAAGTTTTATCTTAATCAAGTCCAAATTTTAATCGTTTACACTAGACATAAGGCTTTTGTTTGAAAGATAATCTGGTTTTGTATAAGTTTTATCTCAATCAAGTCCAAATTTTAACAGTTTACACTAGACAAAAGGCTTTTGTTTGAAAGATATCTGGTTTTTGTATACGTTTTATACTAATCATCCCACATTATTTTATTTTTGTCTGAAAGATATGCTGGTTTTGGTATTTTTATCCAAACACTGATAATTTTAAGCGTATGGCTTTGTCTCTGCTTGACTTTATGACTTTATATCTGTATTTTTATTTACTTAATATTTTATGTCTGTGCCTCTATTCCGTGTTGAATAAATAATGTCTTTGTTTCCGTGACGGCTTGACTAAGCTTCATAAAGTGTAAAGGTGTCTGTTAGGGCCATATAGTGAGGTACTCGCTTTAGCCTACCAGCGCGTTGGGGGGGGGGGGGGGAGAATCTTATCTGTTTCCCTAAAAATATGTCAACCAACCATTCAAACCTACGGTCCATTTGGTAGGTGAAGTAAAGTTCACATGTTTCTGTGACCTCGGCAAATGAAGTGATCGTGTGGTCAGCATTATACCCAGCCGCCGTTACTTTCCCTAACGTCAGGTATCGTAATGACTGGGTAGACTCGGGGACATCAAACAAACTCGTGACTTTTGGATCTAAATATGTAGTGTTGTGTTTCTGTATGGGGGAAGGTTAAAATTCATGAAAATGTACTTAAAGAATTGAACATTTTATATAAAATGTTATAAAAGTTACAAATAATATGTCGATTTTTTTAATAGTCTTACATTTTCTCCTAATTATTTTCAAAACATGTCTTTGAAGTTTGAGCTCCACTCCCCCTATACCCACCAAGATCCGCCTATGCATAAACAAATTTAAACACACCTATTGTGTTATTTACTATGAATGTTACCATTTTCAACCTTTTCCAACAGTTTACTTCTCCTGTCACTTAACCTCACTCCCACATCCACCACCTCTATACGTATTACCCCCCCCCCCCCCCCTCTATACGTGTATAAGAAAGTTCCAGCTACATAGACCATCGCGACCCATATACATTTGTGCCTGTTGTTGCTCAACTATGAAAACAGAAAAACAATCTTTCTAGAGGCTTAGAGAGTTATGACACTTGCGTTAACCAGCAACTGTGGATCACTTGACTATAATTGCACCTTTCTTTCCGGTTGAAATTAGATTTAAACTAAATGGAACACCTCCACCTCAAGTAATTTAGTAGCTAAATTACTGTAGAATTATTAAGGTTTCAGCTGGTGTTATTTGTGTGGCTATTACGGTGTTATTTTTGTAGCTATTATGTAGTGTAGTATGGTATTCATTTAGCTATCTATTTTGAAGTAATTTCTGTTTTGGTGTCTATTGTGGTGTATATTAAGATGTCTATTATGGTGTCCGTTATTATGTATGTTGTGGTGTCTACTATGGTGTCTACTATGGTGTCTACGCTGACACCAGATTCCAACGGCAACATACCCCACCCAGCGTCTACAAACCACAGACTTTCAAGACATTATAGTACCCACTCACTGTTATTTTGTGAAGTTAAACAAAAACTTGGATTATAAACGATATATTGTTTCGCTAATTCCATCCAAGCTTTTAAACTTCTATATGGTCAACAAATAGCATAAAAATCTGTGCTTGTGGGTGAAATAATACTACGGAAATCATCATTCAAACATAAATATTATTGGAACTTATTAGTAATGAATAGGCCTAATTTGTTTAATCAAATGAGGTTAGGCGTGGTTTTCATCGTACTCTTCTTTGTAATAAAACAAAGCGAAAATAAGATAAGATATACAATATACAATAAGCAAAACATCGCTTTCAAATTTAAGTTTTTAAAGAAGTCGGCTTGTCGATAAATAAAAGACTTGAAATATATTTTTCTTCAAACATTGATTTCACTTTGAACCAGTACACAGATACGTCAAACCTAGCTGATTATGAAATCATAAGTAAAGACCTCTTCGCCACGCCTTAATTATAGCCATCACCACTACAGCATTTTATTGATGATGATTTGCTCGTTAGGACATTGGTAGTAACGTAATCAACAAAAATAGACATCTTTTGTAAGCATTTTAAAATTGAAAAAAATCCTTTTTCCAATATTCATTACATAAAAGATTCTGCTGCATATATACAAAATTTCGATTTTTTTTTAAAAACCGTTTTAGATTTCCCATGTTAAAATGTAAGTCTAGCGACGTTATTAGAAAACATAATTTTGCAAAATGCGATAGCATTGAGTGCGCATGTCCAAAAATTCACACGGGCGGATACAGGAGTTACGGAACTTGGGGAATTTCCGTCAACATCAGAGGGTTAAAAGAATGAAATTAGAGTCCACGCCAGACCCGTCGTCTAATTATCAGACCAACTTTTACTTATGACAGAAATAAGCCACAGTAATCCAAACATCAGTCTGGCCTAAACCTCGACTCGAAGTATGGGTGGGGCTATCGGTGCAAAAAGTTTGATATATATTATTGCCTTGTTTGTTTACACTATTTAAGCGTATTTAAGTGTATGCTAGCCAATTATCTAATTCTATGTTAACTGCTACGACGTTTTACCAACAAACTGCACTGTCGAATGACATAGGCCAGAGTAGCTAGGGATGGATAAAAAAATCTATCTATATTTTAATATATATATATATATATATATATATATATATATATATATATATATATATATATATATATATATATATATATATATATATATATATATATATATATGTATATTGCTTCCTCTGAACTGAATAGTTTTAACTACTTTTTACATTGGTATTCTGGAGGATTTTAAACTAAATGTATACATTTTAAAAATAAATATAACAATAGCAAAAAGCGAAAGCTGGAGTTAGAACAGTCTGGTACTGGGGAAGCGATATATACATAAAGGTTTATCGCCTCCCCCCCACCACCCCCTCTGGAACAGCAAATTACCAGAAGGCTCCCCGGAACACAACCCAAGTCCATACGCTGTAGAAAAAGTTGTGAACTGATCTAGACTATTCTAGACCCCCGTCAGACAGCCACTGGAGACTCCAGCTAAATAATATATCGTGATGGGCAGGCCGGCTGACGTCTCTTAGACCTCAGATGGTCGCGGCGTTTTAACATCGACCCGAGTTATTTCCCATTTACTGAAGTCTCCCTGGATGACCCTGTTTTTAAATATTCAGATAAAAATAGGTTGTTGTGTTAAAAAGTTACTAATGGCCGATAGAGCAAATGGAAATGTAATTTTAAATGAAACCGCTAAAATGTATGATGTCAATTATTTAAAGCCACCCCCCCACGTAAAATTATTGTTAATTAATTAGAATATGTGATGACGATTGCATGCTCCGCTACGACGTTTGAAAATGTAAAAACGTGAGCACTTTATTCGCCGTTCATCAAAATAAGAAAGCTCTCAATAGTTCAGACAGCTAAATTATTCAATTTAGTTTGAATTAGTTAATTTATTTTTAATTTTTAAAATTAAGTTTAAAATTTTGTAGAAATTTTGTTTTGATACCCACATTTCTAAAACTTGCGTTTAATTTTAGTAAAAAACTAAAAACTAAATTTGCTAAGATTAATTAATTAACATTAGTGATTGTATATTCGGCGATAAAATTACCAAATGGACCACATAAAACGTATCAGGTATCATTTGTATCGAATTGTTTGAATTCAAGTTTACTTAATAAAGTTCTTGTCAAAGCAACAAATATTTTGTTCTGCCCTATTCCAAGGTGACAGAATCCAATTATAAATCGCTGTTTCTTATATAAGCTACATTTTATTAACCCGAAACTCATCGAATTTTCTACAATATCCGTAAACTCTAAATCTCACATTATGGAGTAAATGCTACTTATCAGTATAAAATCTATATATATAAAGCTCAGTTCTGTATGTAATGCATATGTTTGTCGCTGGTCTTCGATGGATTAAAGTGTTATAATATTATCGTGCGCATTTCTCTAAATTTATGAGTTAAAAAATTACTATTGAAAGTGTTGGGAAATAATTTTCATTTTTCAAATTAAAGTAACAATTGTCGGCGTGTTCATTAAACACAAGTTTTAAAAAAATATCATCTTTTACAAAAATTCTAATTATGTCTTTATTTAGTCCTATAGCATTTACTTCCCTTTGATAAATTAGGAAAACACAATTACTTCCCTTTATAAAACCATTGCATTTACTTTGCATTAATTTACTTTTTATTACTTTGTTTTGGTGTTGGGAAAAAAAATAATTACAT